TCAGAGTCATGGCTCGCTTCGGAGGCCCTCTGCGCACGCGGGGACGCACACTGTCCGAGCCGTGAGTGATGTTAGTGTGGCTGCCATAGTCGCAATTCTCTTCGCTCTCATCTCTCGCCACGACATGCTCCCATTTCCAACTGGGAACAAGGACCAGCATCACTGGTGGCGAATATCCAGACCTGCGGCGTGTCGCTGCATAATCATCCAGCTCCACTGCGAGGCACCGGGCGACGTCTGTGACAGTGCAGTGGTGAAAGAGAGCGCGTAGCAAGGTCCACTTGAGGAACGAACGCATCACGAGTTCTGATTACGAAAGCATTCACCGGGTCCAATGCTGTGCGATGATTCGGTCCAGATGCGCGTACATGACAAAGACTTGGGTGAGAATGCACTCATCGAGCACCGGCTGGGCTCCTTGCGCAGAGCCATCGCAGGGTGACGTCGATGTTGGTCTGCACCTTGGATGAGATGGAGTAGCAAGATACTTCTCGATTCGCTATTGTTTCCAGGCGCCTGCAAACGAATGGATGTACGAGATGGAGGATAAACAAACCGATCGCAGGTTCATGATGCTGCTAAGCAAAACTCACATGATTCTGATCACATCTTCCGCGCTCGCGGCTCCCTTGACGTCGTTCTTGGTAGCTAGCACAAGGAGCGGCAATCCAGCCAACATCGGTCTAGCGACAAGCGCATGCAGCTCCTCTGTAGCCACTTGCCAGCTTGTCGAAGGATCAGATGGGTCCGCCGTAGTCGCCCCGCCGCCGCCGCCGCTGCTGCTCTGGACAGCACCTTCTCGAGGCAGAGGAACGGCGGAATCCACCACAAAGACGATGGCTGAAACACCTCGACAATATCTCTCCCACATGTTCCTGAACCTAGGTTGACCACTGTACAGCGAGAGACGGGGGGTCCGCAATCAGCAATCCGGAGCCTGCGAGCCGAAGCTCCAGCTCCTCTGCGCGTCGCTAGCTGGCGCCTCACTCACCCAATGTCCCACACTTTGATGGTGGTGTTGCCAGACTGCACCTTGCGCATGTTGAAGCCTGGGTGGTTGCGAGGTCTGTCAGATTGATCTGCGCAGCACATGCCCCACATCGATGTGCTACTCACCAACAGTCGGGACCATCTCCGCGCTGAATTGTCCGCTCGCAAGCACATTGACCAGCGAAGTCTTTCCAGCCGCATTCAATCCTACTACGCATATCTCTAGGTGTTTAGAAAAGAGCAAAGATCTAAGCCATTGCACGATGGATGCCAGAAGCGAGGCCATCGTGACGTGCAATTGTATGCTTCGTGGCCCCTGATCCAGCGCGGATTAGGAAGTGGGTAAGCAGAGCGAAAGCGCGATCGTCGGTGCGATGGGGCAGTGGTCGCGAGTGAGCGAGTGAGCGGAGGTGATCTTGTTGCCCCCAGTGCGCCTTCTTGGAGAATTCTATGAAACGTCAGTTGTGGACGACAAGGATTGGCACGGATGAAAGGAGAGCAAAAGGAGACTTGAAGGCACGAGTGATGTGGTCGCGCTGCAAGCGACCCGTACCCGCACACGCCGGCCGCTTGTGGACGGAAGCAGAATCGAACGCGGCGCGTGGGTTGCGGTTCGAGATTTCCCAAATTTGTGGATTTCCATGCGCGCACGCGCGTGCATGCTATCCATCTCCATCCTCCATCCTCTCC